CAAGCATGACAGAGTTCAGTCTTGGACAGGTGCTGTGGCTCACACATGTAATCCCAGCACTTTGGGAAGTTGAGGCGGGTGGATCACTTGAGGTCAGGAGCTCAAGACCAGCCTGGTCAACATGGTGAGACCCCATCTCTACTAAAAACACAAAAATTAGCTGGGCGTGGTGGTGGGCGCCTGTAATCCCAGCTACACGGGAGGCTGAGGCAGGAGAATTGCTTGAACCTGGGGTGAGCTGAGATCGCGCCACTGCACTCTAGCTTGGGTGACGCAGCGGCACTCTGTCTCAAAAAAAAAAAAGTCTGATTACTGACGCACAAAAGGGAACAATATTAACAGCTCAGTGCAGTGTGGAGAGATACAAATTTGCTGTGTGGCCTTGGGCAAGTCTCTGCACCTGTCTGGGTGGGAGAAAAGACCCCTGAGGGAGGGCCCTGCCTTGGCAGCCAGCATTCTCTCTGCAGGGGCGCAGCGGCCTCGGAAGCCTAAGTGACCTGTAGGGCTCAGGGCCACTCACACATTTGTGCTCTGGCACGTGCACACGCAGACAACGTACACTGACTTTTCTAGCCCCACGTGTCTCCCTCCACTCTGCCAGCTCCCCTGCTCACCCCTGCTCTGCTCCTGGTCCCATGGCGAATCCTAGACTGCCCACGGATGAATCTAGCCACCCTCAAACTCCCACTAGGGCAGGGGGCAGGGAGTGGAGGTGTGTGTTTCATGTGGCAGCCCCACTGAAGATGCAGTGCCACCCGGGAAAGGGCAGTGTGCCTGGAGAATGGACCAGGGCCTGGAGGGCAGCAGAGGGCAATCCATGGCTGTCTCATCCCTTTGAATCCATATGTTGAATCCCTAACCCCTAGTATATCAGAATGTGATTGCATTTGGAGGTAGGGCCTTTTTTCTTTAGACGGAGTCTTGCTCTGTCACCCAAGCTGGTGTGCAGTGGTGCGATCTTGGCTCACTGCAACCTCTGCCTCCCTGGTTCCAGCAGTTCTCTGCTTCAGCCTCCCGAGTAGCTGGGATTACAGGCGCCTGCCACCATGCCCAGTTAATTTTTGTATTTTTAGTAGAGATGAGGTTTCACCATCTTGGCCAGGCTGGTCTTGAACTCCTGACCAGCCGCGGCCTCCCATAGGGCTGGGATTACAGGCCCTGTCTGTGGGGCAGGGTGGTGGTGGTCCACCCAGAGAGGGTGGGAGGCATTGGGTAGGATGGGACAGTGGTGGCAACAGAGATTGGTTATTGCTGGGATGGAGGTAGTGAAGGAATGGTGGACGGAGGGAAGCAGGCTTCTCACTGCTGGAGAAGGGAGTTACACATAGGGGAAGGGCGGAAAAGAAGGAATCTGTGGTGAAGCTGGAGTTACTGTGCCAGCTCATGATTGTCTACATGTGCAGACGGAAACTGTACTGCACGTGCATCTGAGCGCATCAGCTGAGAAGCCATGGGAGCAGGGGTCCCCTTGAGGGCACACCCAGGGCTCTGTAAAGAGAGGGAGAGGACTGGGCTCGCTTTTGCCCACCCAAAGCTCCCGTGGTGGAGCCCCCAGCTCGTCTCACCAAATCCTGCCCACAACCCTGTGAGTCCGGAAGTGTAAGAAGATCTGAGGCTTCTAAAGATGAAATCATTTGTGCGGTCACACAGCAGGGCCCAGTGGTGAAGCCAGATCCTCGGACTCCAGCTGCCAGCCCCATCACCACTGTTACTCAGCCCCACCAGTCAGAGGCTACGTGTGTGCGCGCGCGCGCGCGCGTGCCTGTGAGCTCGATCGGGGCAGGGAGGAGCCGGCAGCACGTGTGTGTGCGCGTTTGTGTGCACGCGTGCCTGTGAGCTCGCTCGGGGTAAGGAGGAGCCGGCAGCACGTGTGTGTGCGCGCGTGTGTGCGCGCGTGTGTGCGTGTGTGTGTGCAGGCGCGCCTGTGAGCTAGCTCGGGGTAAGGAAGAGCCGGCAGCACGTGTGTGTGCGCGCGCGTGTGCGTGTGTGTGTGAGTGTGTGTGTGCAGGCGCGCCTGTGAGCTAGCTCGGGGCCGGGAGGAGCCGGCAGCACCCGCCCCTCTCTCCCGGAGTCCGTACTGGGCGGGGGCTGACTCGGCCGCGGTGGACCCCACCCTACTGCCCCGGCAAGCCCTGTACACACAGCGCTGCTGCCATCTCGTGGTCGCTCTGGAACACTGACTCTGAGGCGGGACCAGAGCACGTGCTCAGGACTCAGAGCTGGACTCACCTGCAACCACCGAGGAGAGGGCAGAGGCTTCCTAAAGCGCCTACTGTGCGTCAGCAGAGCCCAATCCAGGACCGCCGGGGGCATCCTGCCTCTCTCCCGTTGGCCGCGATCAAGACAGCCCTGGCCCCTCTTAGGGGTAGCAGCCCGGACCAGGAGGAAAGACAGACACCATCCTTCCTCCTCCCGTTCTCCCCCAGTGGGGAGTAGACAGAGGCTGTTTTGGAGCTGGGAACAATACCAGAGGCTGAGCAGGGGTCCCCCAAATTACTCAGGAGTCTGAGAAGCAGAACTCTGAGACAGGGGTCTGGAGCAGAGGCCATTCTGGAAGTGGGGGGCACCATTCATGACAGTAACGTGTACAGAGCATTTTCTGCGTGGCACATGCTGGGTTGTTGGCTCAGTCAACCCTCACGACCCTATAAGGGAGGGACTGTTATTCACTCATTTTATAAGTGAGAAAACGGAAACACAGAAAGGTTAAGCAATTTGCCTAAGATCACACAGCCTAGAAGCGGCTGGTCAGGGAGATGGGTACTGACACTAGGACTGGGGGTGGGTGGAGGGGTCAGTATCCAGGGGCAGGGTGGGATCCTGGTGCCCAGGGGAGTCAGGAGGGAGAGGGCTCAGTGGAGGCTCTGCTAAAGGTTTCCTCAAAGGTAGGCCCCCGGGGCTGCCTTCCAGGCCTGTCCACTGGCCCCCCAAGCTCCACTCAACCCCTCCCCCCATGCCCCTGGCCCAGTGCTGCCTTCTGATGCAGCTGGGCCAGCAGGAGCTGCGGCCTCTCGTTAATCCTGTCCTGCAGTGCCAGGTGTAGGCCCCCACCAGGCAGCTGGCCCTTATTTGCTTGGGGCCAAGACTTCCTGCAGCTGTAAAGTGATCCGGCCCAGGCCTGTGGCCTCAGAGCCTGCTGCCAGGAAACCCATCCTGGCTGCACTGAAGATTTCCTGCCAGTGCCCCCCCAGCCCCAGCAGCCTTCTCTCTGGAGGGCCTCAGGCAGCTCAGGGCTGTTCCAGCCAGCGAAGGGGCCAGAGACCTCTTCAGGGACCGCTTCCTGTTGGCGTTCAAGGCCCTGTGGTCCTGCCTACCCTATCTTACCTCTGCAGCCTTGGGCTGCCCACAGAGAGCATCCTGCTGGCCCTGGGCATCGTGTCCCAACTTCATTTCAAAGCAGGAAACAGTGAGTTTCTGTCTTTCTTGTCCCTTTCCCTCCCACATGACCCCACAAGGCTGGCACCTGCTGTTCGGCTTCTGTCGGGCGGGCACCTCGGGCTATGCTGTGTGCCGTTGGCTCGAAGGGGATGCACCCACAGGGAGGAATGAACGACCTGGCAGTTTTCACCCTTAGCAGGGCCCTGGGGAAACCCCCCCCCCCCCATCCCTGGGAGCCATCTGTGACGTTTCCTTGGGTTTCCTGGCTAACACAGGGAGGGGACGCCTCAGCTTTGATCTTTGTAAAATCACAACTTCCCTCTAATGGGGCCCCAGTTAAGTAGGGAGAGAATGGCGGAAGCAGGCAGTGGTGTGGGTGGGGCAGGCAGGTGAGGCAGCACGGAGGAAGGTTGGGGGTCCCAGTCTTCCATGACGTAGTGTATGACCAAGCAAGTCCCTTCCTCCCCCAGCCTCAGTTTCCCCACCTGTCACTGGTGGCCAACACCATTGGCCCCCTAGGGCTGTTGTGAGGTATGGAAAGGGCCAGGCCAGGGTAGCAACCGGCAGGGGCTCACGGATACCCTGGATGCAGTGGAGGGAGCCTGGCCTGGATCATGAGCTTCCTGATGGCGGCGAGACCTCCCGCTCCCGTGCCCCGTGCCACCGTGCCTGCCCCAGCTGCTTTCCTTGCCCCAACTCCATCTTGAGGGCTGGGCCAGGCCTGGTCTGGTCTCCTGTGTGCCCAGCTCCAGACCACACCTCGGACAGCAGTGCTGCCTGCTCACTGCCCATGGGAACCGGGGGCGGCTCACACAGGCCCGGGCCCTCCCCTAGGAACCCAGGCCCCTTCGGACCCGATCGCTTAAGGCTCCACACCAGCCACCTTTGTTCCTCGACTGTGTCCTGGGCCAAGAGGCTCCAGCATGCCTCAGCAGTGACTCTCGGGGAGTCTGGCCTAGAGACCCCACACCTGAAAAGGTGGTACCCCAAGACCTGGGGCTCTTGAGCTGCCATGGAGGTAAGAATGGGCCCCCTGCACCTGACCTGGGGCCCAGCGTCTGGAGCCATGTGCCATGGCGTCCCAACAGCTTCGGTGCCTGGAAAATGGGGAGGATGCACTTATGTGTGAGGATGTGCCTGGCACGTGACAACGGCATGTGCTTCCCTCCCTGAGCTGGGCGGCTCGTGTGGCTCCTGGAGTCATAGTCTCCACATCTAGACATCGAGGATGCTCACTTCGCTTCTCCCAGGCTGTTGTGATGGTACAAGCCAGTGTGTAGCCCCAGGCAGTGCCTGGCACCCCGCCTCGGAAGGCCAGCATCCTCCTGTGACCTGCTTACCCGTCACACCCATGCAGTCCACACGGGTCCCTGCCCTTGTGATTAGTGTGCTCTGTGCAGGGCAGGAGCTGGCCTCACGGGACAGCAGTGCCTTGAGTCGGGGAGGCATGCATCCTCTGGGCGGGGGCAGTGGCTGGAGCCTGCAGGGGGAGGAGGCGGCATGGGCAGTGTCCTTCCGCCTGCACCAGACACAGATGCTCACTCCTCGGGTGGCCCCCAGCCCCGCCCAAAGCAGTCACCTCTGTGAGGCCCAAGAAGTCATTTCTCACCAGGAGACAATGCTGCTAGCAGGGTGGTTTTCTACCTTTAATTGGGGATACAAAAGGCACCTCTCCCAGTACGAGAGGATCAACCGACAGGTGCGCTCCAGTGCCATGGTGCCCGGCCAGGAGGAACAGAGGAAGGGGACGGACAAGGCAGTGGAGGGAAGGCGAGGCCAGCATCCAGCATCCCCGGAGCCCCACCTGCAGCCTCTCAGCTACTGCGTGCAGAGTTGCAGCTTTGTGCCTGGGCCACGGCAGCTCCTCAGGGGGCCTCCACACCTCCACGCCCTGCCCTTATGGCTGGCCGAAGCCATGGGGCCCCATGAGGCAGACCAGGGAATGGACCGGAGGCTCGGCAGAACTTCCAGTGTGGCCAGCCTCCACTGGCAGTGTGGGCTCTGAAGGGCTCGTTGGGGCATGGGTCCAGAGCAGGGCATCACTCAGTGAAGGAGAGTCACCCTGGGTCAACCAGCCAGCAAGCCAGCCTGTCCTGGGGGCTCCACTTCTCAGCAAAGTCTCATGGTGACTTTGCTGGGTGGCCCTGGGCGGAGACGGCTGGGGTGGGAAAGGCGGAGCAGCCAGATCCAAGGCAGCGCTGATCTGTCCCCAGTTCATCCTGCTGCCTCCACGCCCCCAGCCGCAGCTGGGGCAGCTCCATCTTCAAGAAGGAGAAGAGGGGGTAACGAGCCACCCCCAAAGCAGCCTTAACACCAGAGGAGGGAGGGAGGCCCCAGCCTAAGGGTGTGAGAGCAGCAGGGACCTGGGCTGCAGGGTGCCAGACCCCACACTCATAAGGCAAACAGCATGTCGTCATCTTTCTCCTGGGTCTTCTTTCGGGCCACTGGGCCAGGTGGGGGACCCGGGGGCCCCTCGGCTGAGGGACTGGAGAGGTTGGGCAGTCGATCCGCGGCTTTGGCCCGTTCTTCCAGGAATTTGTCAAATTCTAGAGGAAAGGGAGAGGGTGAGCGTGGGCTCTGAGGCCAGAGCCCCGGCGAAAGGAAAGGGCGGGCAGGCGTGGGGACTACTACCTTCGCTGGTGACCCCCTTGGGCTCTTCCACATCATTTCCCTGGGAAGGTAGAAGGAAAGGAGGCAGAGGTTAGCCGGGTCCCAGGACAGTCAGCCGGGGCAGAGGGGCCGCAGCTCGGGCACTGCTGAACCTGAGCATTGGGTCCCAGCTCTGCCCCCTGCACCACCCCCGAGTCCCAGGACCTGGGCTCCTCTCTGAGCTGTGGGGCCTTCCCTAGGTGGCACCCAACCTCCTGAGCCTTGTTTTTTCCTTCTGTAAAATGCAGGTGGGGTGGGGGGAGGGGGTTGAAGCTAACTTGGAGGGTTGCTGGGGAGCTGAAATGGGATAATACACGCACGCCAAGCCCAGCACCTGGTGCCCAGTGGGTCCTGGATGAGTGCCGATTCCTTTCCTTGGAGGGTCACAAGGGGTGGATGGTCCTTACCCCCGGGGAGAAAGGCTGATACCCAGAGACTGATGGCCATTCATGCTAACACTGCAAACTAGGGAGGGGGCGAGGCTTCTGCCAGCAGTCAGAGAGCCTGAGTCCTTGCCCTGTGGCTTAGTCCTGGGCAGAAACGGCCTCTCCACCTGCAGGAGGCAGCTTCTGGGCCTGAAGTGCCCCGGCGCCCATGTGGGCCTTGGTGCCCAGAAAGGGGGCGGCAGATGCTGGGGTAGGAGCCGAGTCTGCTTCTCCTTCCTTCTGCTCCCTGGGAGGGTGGCAGGGATTGGGGTCCCTGTCTCCTGGCACCCACACTCCTCCTCCTGGGTGTTCCCCTTTAGAGGACAGCTGCTTATCATCTTCTGATCTGTAAACAGGCTGGTGATGGGTTCCTTCTGCTAATGGCTGGAGGCTCCTTGAGCTACTGCAGTAAAGAGGCTGGCGCCGTTACGCGTCCTTGGTCAGCCTCTCTAGCCTGCCACGCCCCTGCGGTGGGCACATACCCACTGGGCCTCACCTCGGGAGCAGGCTCTGGGAAGCAGCCGAGAGGCTACGGGTGCCCAGGCCTTCTCTTGGCAGGAGGGGAGCATATCAAGCAGGAGGTGGGCAGGGGGCAGGAGATGGGGACTTGAAGTGTGCCCCTCAGCTCTACCCCGGCCCCACGGGTCACTTCTTTGTGAGAACAATGGGCCCTCCTGCTGTGTGGGCGAGGAGGGGGCCTGAGCCTTTGCGTCCGAGCTGACTGGGCCCCAACGTACCACGTCAGTGGACAGCCACTGCTCGATGTCCTCCATGAGGCAGGCCTGTGTGACTGGGATCTGGAAGGAGGGGCAGAGGGTGAGGCAGGGAGGGCAGTGCCCTGGGCGACAAGGTAGTGCCAGCTCAGTGCCCTGCAGCTGGGTGGCCCTGGGCAGCCTTCCACCCAGGCCCCAGCTGCCTAGCTGCCTGGACCCGCCCCTGCGCCCACTGTGGCAGGGTGTGAGCGAGGGAGGTCAGAGCCCGGAGACAAGAGCTCCCGGCAGCTGGAGCAGGGCCGGGGTCAGAGGCAGCTCCTTCCCCTTGAGGAGAGGACCCCAGTTCTCACACACCCTGCAGGCAGGGTTCTAGGCTAGAGGAGGGGCTTTGGGCAACGGCCTGGGGCAGGGGCTAGGCCATTGCTGCGGGTGCTCAGGAGCATCTGACAAGGGACACGCGAAGCCCGGGGATGAACCCCAGGCATTTTCTCCAGCCAGGGGGCTCCAGGTTCCATTCCCTGGTGCCTCTGCAGATGCAGGATTCATGATAGAAGAGGGCATAGCAGGGCCTGAGAACAGAGGTGCCAAGTTGATCAGACAAGGCCAGGAGTTGTTGGAGGCTTTCTCCTCTAGCGGCTTCTGCAGTGGCAGACTCCAGTGGGCACTCATGGGCACAGACTTCAGAATCAGAAAGATCTGGGTCTGGCTCACCCCTCAACACAGCGCGACTCTGAGTGGGTCACTTAACTTCTTCAACCTCATTTCCCTCACCCTCTGGGCGAGGCTAGCAGCAGTACCTACCGTCCAGGCAGCTGTGAGGATGAAATGGGAGAATGGATGTCAAGAGCTTGGCACAGGGCCTGGCACGGAGGAGGTGTTTAAGAAATGCCAGTTCCTAGATACTATTTGTCAGTAACGACGCTAGTAGCACTAGTTACTAATTAGCTATTTTGGAAAAGACAGAGTCTTTCCCTGACCAGGCCAGTCTGGTCTCCAAGCTCCGACACCCAGCACCTGAGGCCCCCCAGGCAGGAGCAGAGCCCGGAGAGAAGGCGGGAGCCGACTTCCCAGCAGCAAGCGCCCCGGCTGTCCGCACCAGTTCCCTCTCCTGGTGTGCTGCCCCAGTCACCTCTTAGCTGGCAGAGGGGCTGCCCTGTCCTTGCCTGAGGGTCAAGAGCGGGAACTGGGCACAGAGGAGCTGCAGAAGCTGGGCTGGCTGGGCCAATCTGGGAACAGCCTGAGCCCAGGGGCCCTACGGGGCCCTCAGCTGCCCCTCCACGCTCCTCTGGGTCTTCTCCCGGGTCCCACTCCCTAAGACAGCAGCACCATGCCCCATGCCCACGCCTGGCAGGAGCCCTGCGAGCAGCCCCAGCTCTCGGCGGTCAGGCCTGGCCCCTGCTCACCATGCCTTGTCTCACCATCCAGTCACTGAGGCTCTTCTCATGGCCGCCTCCCATCTGGGTAAGAGAGAGTCACGCTGATGGCAGAGGGGTGGCCGTGCCGGGGCCACTGGGCGGCACAGCTTCTAACAGGGCACGCCTTTTGGGTCAGGAGGCCTGCCGCCTTGTGTGTATGTAGGTGTATGTGTTGAGTGTGTAGGTGTGCTGTGTGTAGGGGTGTGTGTGTAGGGGTGTATGTAGGTGTATGAGTAGGTGTAGGGGTGTGTGTAGGTATATGTGTAGGTGTATGTGGTAGGTGTAGATGTGTGTGGTGTGTGCATAGGGGTGTGTGTAGGTGTCTGTGAGGTGCACAGTGGTGTATGTGTGTGTAGGTATAGACGTGTGTAGGTGCAGGTATGTGTGGTGTGTGTGTAGTGGGTGCAGATGTGTATGGTGTGCGCATAGGGATGTGTAGGTGTAGGTGTGTGTGGTGTGTGCATAGGGGTGTGTGTGGTGCATGTAGGTGTGGTGTGTGTGTAGGTGTAAATGCATGTGGTGAGTGTAGATGTGTGTGGTGAGTGTAGGTGTGGTGCATGTGTGTGTTGTGAGTGTAGGGGTGTGTGTGTGGTGAGGTGTGTGTGTGTAGGTGTGTGTGGTGAGTGTAGGTGTGTGTGTGTAGGCGTGGTGATATGGTGTGTGTGTAGGTGTGGTGTGTAGGTGTGTGTGTAGGTGTGGCATGTGTGTAGGTGTGTGATTGTAGATGTATGTGGTGTGTGTGTGAATGTAGATGTGTGTGGTGAGTGTAGATGTGTGTGTGTGTAGGTGTGTGGGTGTAGGTGTGGTGAGTGTAGATGTATGTAGTGTGTGTGTAGGTGTGTGGTGGGTGTAGGTGTGTTTGTGTGTAGGTGTGTGGTGAGTGTAGATACATGTAGTGTGTAGGTGTGTGGTGAGTGTAGGTGTGGTGTGTGTGTAGATGTGTGTGGTGAGTATAGATGTGGTGTGTATAGGTGTGTGGTGGGTGTAGGTGTGGTATGTGTGGTGAGTGTAGGGGTGTGTGTAGGTGTGTGTGGTGAGTGTAGATCTATGTGGTGTGTGTATAGGTGTGTGGTGGGTGTAGGTGTGTGTGGTGTGTGGTGAGTATAGATGTATGTGGTGTGTGTGTAGGTGTGTGGTGTGTGTAGGTGTGGTGTGTGTGTGTAGGTGTGTGGTGGGTGTAGGTGTGGTGTGTGTGGTGAGTATAGATGTATGTGGTGTGTGTGTAGGTGTGTGGTGTGTGTGTGTAGGTGTGGTGTGTGGTGTTTGGTGGGTGTAGGTGTGGTGTGTGTGGTGAGTGTAGATGTATGTGGTGTGTGTGTAGGTGTGTGGTGTGTGTGTGTGTAGGTGTGGTGTGTGTGGGTAGGTGTGTGGTGGGTGTAGGTGTGGTGTGTGTGGTGAGTGTAGATGTATGTGGTGTGTGTGTAGGTGTGGTGTGTGTGGGTAGGTGTGTGGTGGGTGTAGGTGTGGTGTGTGTGGTGAGTGTAGATGTATGTGGTGTGTGTGTAGGTGTGTGGTGTGTGTGTGTGTAGGTGTGGTGTGTGTGGGTAGGTGTGTGGTGGGTGTAGGTGTGGTGTGTGTGTGTAGGTGTGAGTGGTGGATGTGGTGGCCATGCAGAGGGATGAGGCAAGTATTGTGGTACCCACCAAGGGGTGAACCACAACAGCTATGGGATGCCAGAGCCCCGAGTAGGCTGGAGCGGAGCTGACGGCAAACTAAACAAAGCTTCTCAACCCTCTCCTCAAGGAGCCCAGAGGCTGGGCCTCAGCAACCCCAGGACGGCAGGGCAGGTGGCTGTCAGATGGTCTGGAGGCTCCCGGTGGGGTCTGACGGGCACCCAGGTTTTAGGAACATCAGTTTATCCAATCTTCTCAAATTCATCCATGGCACCAAGCGGCTTCCTAGTGCCCCAGAGTGGAGGGAGATGGGAGTCCAGCTCCCGGCCTGCCGCCCAGTGCCTGGCTGGGACGCAGCTCAGACCAGCGTGGGGCCTGGCACATGGCCGGCTTGTCAGGAAGCGAAGGAACTAGAACCTGGCACACAGCATGCGATGCCACTTCGTCACGGGACTTGTGAGACCTACTCTGAATCCCAGGGTGCAAACATGGGCTGCCCACGATTGGCACTTGATTCTGTTTCTTTCTTTTTTGAGATGGAGTCTCACTACGTTGCCCAGGCTGGAGTGCAATGGTACAATCACAGCTCATGATAACCTCAAACTCCTGGGTTTCAGTGATCCTCCCACTTCAGCCCCCCGAGTAGCTGGGACTGCAGGTGGCACCACGCGCAGTTTTGATGCTGTTTTGTACTTTGCTGCTGGGAATCGTGTTCTCGTGGGTTAGTGGGTGAAGGCCTTACTACCAGCCGGACTCCAGCACCCCGGGAGCACGTGTTTGCTCACACGGTTTTAAGAAACCCTACCCAAATGTGGCAAGGGGCTGGACTCTCCCGGGTTATCGGAGATAAATGAGTGACCGCCGGCTCATCAGCTTCTGCTGTGCTGCTGGTGGAGCTGCGTGGTGTGCTGCTCCCCGCGGGCGGGCTGCAAAGGTGGTGTGGGAGCCAGGACACCTGGGCTCTGCTTCTAGTCACGCCTGGATTGCTGTGTGCCCCTGGGAAAGTGAGCCCTGTCTCTGGGCTGCAGCAGGAACGGATTGGCTGGGATTACTGCCCACTGGGCGGTGGAGTCAACCTCTGTGGAACCTCTGATGAACCCGACAAGCTGGGAGCCTGAGGCTAAGGGGGCACCCCCCCGCCACCACTCAGCCTCCTTTGCACCTAGCTTTTCACATCTGCTGCACTTGCTCTCTGCGTGGCTTCGAAGCCAAGCAGACCAATACCTGCGAGACCCTGGGCAAGGTCTCTCCCAACGCTCGGCCTCAGTTTTCTCATCTGTAAATGGGATAAGCACATGGCGGAAACACTAGTGTGCGCCAGGCACCATGCTCAGGACATTACGCCTGTTGTTTCACTTAACCTCTCTCTGGGACTCAGTTTTCTCATCTGTAAAACAGGATAGTAACATACCCTAAGGGTCTGTGCAATGACTCTGTAAGAGAGGGGAGGCAAAGGGCTTAGCGCAGGCCCGGCCCGGGGCACAGGCTCAGTAAATGATGCCTTCCGCCCGAAAAAGGACAGGAGGCTCTGACACGGGTGCACAATGTGTTCGGCTTGGCGGCAGGTCGCACGCCACACAGGGAGGTCCTGGATTCTCCTGCCGCCCGTTGGGCAGTGGAGTCAACCTCTGTCCATGAGACGTGCAGGTGGCGCACCCAGTGTCCCAGACCTTGCCTTGTTCTGACTTGAGAATGGCTCCTGAGATGCTGGGGACCCGGTGGCGCAGGCAGAGTGCCCTTGGGAGTGACGAACACTGTGCCCACGGTGGAGTGGACTTGAAGGTTTCCAAAACTCCTCCTTCCCTGCTTTCCTTCTTTTTTTGCCACAGGGTCTCGCTGCATTGCCCAGGCTGGAGTGCAGTAGTGTAATCTCAGCTCACTGTAGCCTCCACCTCTCAGGCTCAACTGATCTTCCCACCTCAGTGCCTGACTAGCTGGGACGAAGGTGCGCCACCATGCCCGGCTAATTTTAAAATATTTTGTAGAGACAGGGTTTCACCATGTTGCCCAGGCTGGTCTTGAACTCCTGACCTCAAGTGATCTGCCCACCTCGGCCTCCCAAAGTGCTGCGATTCCAGGCCTGGGCCATCACGCTTGGCCCTCCTTGCTTTCTTAGCTTCCATCCTGATCCTTTTGCGTCAGAAGTAAGAGAAATGTCCCTCCTGTGTTGAAGACTTCCCTGCAGCCTCCACCTCACTTAGGATGCAATCTGCAGTGCTCCTAGCTGCCTTGAGGCCTCTGGTTCCAGCTACCCCTGAAGCTTCATTTCCTACCCCCAACCCCATGCTGGCCTCAGAAGTCCCCACACTGCCTGGTTCCTCCTCGGGCCCGGGCCCGCCACCTCACTCCCTGGACGCACAGTTCCTGCTATTTCAAACTGTCTCCCGTAAGACTTGCTCTGCGTGCTCACTTGCTGGAGCAGAGATTCTCACACTGCCCAATATGCATCCAGATACACATTTAAATGCATGAGAAAATTGTGCTTGGAGCTCTTGCTAAAGGGCGTGGGGTCGCCCACAAAGTGTGCTTGGTGCTAGACAAGTGGCTGTCACTCAACACAGTCAAGGAACTAAATGGAATTCAAGGAGCACCCTGGCACTTCTCCCTGCCGCTTCACGGTCTGCTTTTATTCCTCTCTGCCTACACTCCTGCAAATAAAAAGTCTCTAGAGAGGCAGAGCGGAGTGATATTGACTGGGCTCTAACTCCCTGTAAAGCACCCTGAATACATCCTCTTATGTGTTCTATTGTAAACAGGCCTAGGTGCTAGGATAAACCCCAATGTACAGATAAAGAGACGGTCATGCCTGCAATCCCAGCACTTTAGGGGGTCGAGGCGGGTGGATCACGAGGTCAGGAGATCAAGGCCATTCTGGCTAACATGGTGAAATCTCATCTCTACTTAAAAAAAAAAAAAAAAAAAATTAGCTGGGCATGGTGATTCGTGCCTGTAATCCCAGTTACTTGGGAGGCTGAGGCAGGACAATCGCTTAAACCAGGGAGTCAGACGTCGCAGTGAGCCGAGATCGCACCACTGCGCTCCAGCCTGGGTGATAGAGCAAGACTCTGTCTCAGAAGACTGAGGGTCAGAAAGGCCAATCATCTGCTTCAGGACACACAGGGCTGGTCGGCGGTAGGGCTGGAATGTGAAGCCAGGACCGCTGGTGTCCAGTTTCAAGTCAAGCCCAGGTGTGAGTCTGTGCGTGTGAGCCTGGGCAAATGGCCTGGCCTCCCTAGCAGTTTCCTTAGCTGTAAATTGGGAATAACATTAGCCAACAAGAACCGACCAGAGAGCCAAACGAGGAAAGGCCTGCGGATGTGCTGAGCCAGGGCTTGGCCCGCAGTGGCACCCAGCGGGTGAGCATTCCTTCACCTCCTTCAGGAGGGCCCCCCTGCTTACCGCACCAGTGCTCTGCTGCCGGGCGTCCAGGGCTCCAGCCAGGCCGTCTGTTGCTTGGGGGGCTTCGTATTTTACCCTGAAACAGAGACCACCAGGCCATCAGAAGCTGCCCTTACCAATGGCTGATGCAAGAATGGAGTGGTCGGGGGTCCCGGGTCGAGGGCTCCCACCTTCCAGGCCTGCCTGGACATGGTAGAACGGGTCTCATTTCCTGCCTCTGGATATGAGGATCTGACAGGTGACCTACATGGCAGGCAGCAGCAAAGGCTGGAGAGGTCAGGCAGACCAAGACCGCCAATGGCTACGAACAAGACTGGCTAAACTCAGGAGACAGAAGGCGCTCCAGCGCCCCTAGGCTCGGGGAGAATTCCCTGCAGACCCTTTCCTGAGCAGGTCTTGTTTCCTATTTTCTAAACTGTGGTTCTGTATGAGGTTGTATTTGAATGGGGGATTCCATTCTGCTGCTGAAAACAAACCTGTACGCTGTGGGCCAGGTGCCATCCTGTCTTGCACTGGCTCACCAGCACAGAGATGACCACCAGCACTCCACCCCACCCCTGGTCGCGGCAGCTTGGGAGGCAGCTTGGTTACAGCTCTTCTAAATGTCCTCTGGAGGATGCCAGCCAGCCAGGCAGGGCGGGGAGGCAGGAGCTGGGAGGGCATGCAGGGCGGATGGGCTAGGCGCGGCAGGAGCTGACCCTGCAGCTGCTGGGCAGATGAGGAGAGGCGAGGAGGGGTGTGTTGTGTTTGATGTTTGAAGTTAAGTCTCCTGGGGAGCAAGAGAATAGCCTCGGAGGAGGAGCTGGCTGACGAGGAGAGGCGGCTAGGGTGTCTTTCCCAGCGGCTGCAGTGGGGATGTCCAGGGCAGGTATTGGGGACCCAGTCCTGATGCAGAGAAAGAGCTCCATTCTGCTCACCCTGAACTGCCAGTAGAGAGGACCTTAGCACTGGCTCAGTCCAGCTTTGAGGTGAAGAAGGAAGCCACAGAATTCTGGTCTGCTATTCCTGCTAGGGATAAGGACACCTGACACTCCGGTGAAGCAGGGGCTGATCTAACTGGAAGCTTCAGGAACTGGGACGGCATTACATTGAACTCTTTTTGTTGTTGAGATGGAGTTTTTCTCTCGTTGCCCAGGCTGGAGCGCAGTGGCGAGATCTCGGCTCACTGCAATATCCGCCTCCTGGGTTCAAGTGATTCTCCTGCCTTAGCCTCCCGAGTGCTGGGATTACAAGTGTCTGCCATCACTCCTGGCTAATTTTGTATTTTTAGAAGAGATGGGGTTTCTCCATGTTGGCCAGGCTGGTCTCGAACTCCCAACCTCAGGCGATCCACCCACCTCGGCCTCCCAAAGTGCTGGGATTTACAGGAGTGAGCCACCGTGCCTGGCCACATTGAACTCTTGCAATATCAACTTGCTTTCCTAGGAATGGAGTAGGCTGGCACTGAAAGGGACTTGAGTAAGACCCCTTGTTCCCAGGCAGTCACTTTGAAGAGCACTGCTGTCTGCTCCTTCCCACCAGGGGCAGAGTTCCCTGGTGCAGCGTGGCCACTAGCTGAGCCTCTCCCTGGTTACAAGGCTCCCATCCATGGCGAGTGGGCCAGTGACTACTGTGGGGCCCTGCTGGAGCCAACCTTAAAGCCAGTGCCAGCGGCGGGGGAGATGTCAGCTTGCTCAGTTGTGACCCAGAGAACGCCTGCTAATTGAGGGTCTGGAGGTGGCATGTTGCTGTCTCTAACACATGCTTGGCACATTGCGGGCAAGGCTGAAGAACATGCCCAGCCCCAGGAACACACAGAAACCGATGCTTTCCCTTCACTCAAAAGAACTATCTGCCCTTCCTAAGCGCTCCTCGCCTCCCCTGCCTTTCTCTCCTGCCCACACGTGGCCCTGAAGCCTGACTGTTCCCGAGGGCCATGCCTGTGGTGGTGGAGGGCCAAGCACGCCCCTGGAGGAAGCCCACACGTCCTGCACTGGGTTGCGGCCCCTGAGGCGGGGTCTGCTGCCCCACGTCCAGTGCAGGAGGGCGGAGGGTCACTCCTCGGGTGGTCCCGGTGAGGCTGGTGGGCAGGGGCTGCACCTGGGCCATTGGGGTGACACCCGTCTAAGTGCTCCTTGTAGAGACAGCCTCTGTGCACAGCAGCACTAACAAAGATGTGGACAGAGGGGTGAGGGACACCCCTGCCCTGTGAAGGCCTGGCTTGCCCAGATGCCCTGCTGCTCCTTGGCACTGAGTGGACGGAACTGGCTGCAGGAAAGGCTGTGACGGTGCCAGCTGCGGTCAAAGGTAGAGCAGAAACAGCGGCTGCTAAGAAGCTGCTTTCCCTGCAAGCCAAGGCAGAGCCAGTCACAGGCTGGTGTGAAGTGGGGGGCCAGGCAGGTGCAGGGAGGAGCAGGCTGGACGCCAGTCAGGCAGGAAAGGCCAGTTAGGTGACCAGAGCTGGAAGATCCCCCAGAAGCATACGGGGGCCAGCCAAGCAGGAGAGCAAAGGGAAGAGGACATGGATGCTCAGGCACACGCCTGACCCTGGCTGATGTCTTCTGCTAGGGTGGAAACCAAGCCCTGGGGAGGGCCTGCAGGAGGACCAATGGCCTGAGAAGGTGCCTGATGTCATTTCAGCTGTGCCCAGCTGAAGGCAGCTTCAAAGATGAAAATCTGGTAAGAAGAGAAATCCTTCCTATGCTCCCTTCTGCTCATGTCAGAATAAAATCAATTGCCTCGGCTGGGCACGGTGGCTCACGCCTTTAGTCCCAGCACTTTGGGAGACTGAGGCAGGTGGATCACCTAAGGTCTGGAGTTCGAGACCAGCCTGACCAACATGGAGAAACCCCATCTCTACTAAAAATACAAAAACTTAGCTGGGTGTGGTGATGGATGCCTGTAATCCCAGCTACTTGGGAGGTTGAGGCAGGAGAATCACTTGAACTCAGGAGGTGGAGGTTGCGGTGAGCTGAGATTGTACCATTGCACTCCAGCCTGAGCAATAATAGTGAGATTCCATCTCAAAAAAAAAAAAATATCAACTGCCTCCAGTGGGACCCGCCACCCTCTCAGCATCCTGCCCCCTTCCCTGTGTGAAGGGTGTCTTTCTTAGCTGCTGTGTGGGAGCCAGGGCACCTCTCTCCCACCCTGCCTCTAAGCCTTTGCACATGCTGTTTCTAGTGCCTGAAATGGCCTTCCTGACTACCAGGCAGCTGGTCCAGCCCTGAGTGCCCTCTGCAGAGTTGCATGCCCCCTCCTCTGTGTCCACAGAGCCTGGTGCCCCCTCCAGGACAGCACTTAGCCCTTCGCAGCGGTAGTCCCGGTACATGTCACTCTCCCCATGAGACTGCAGGCCCTGGGGTACCAGCTCCTGGTGTGCTTTTTCTTGTCCCCAGGGCCTGCTCCCCAGAGGACTGATGGCGCAACAGCAAACCTCAGCCAGGCTGGTGATCTATGGCAGGTGCCAGGGCTCTCCAGGGTGGCCGGCAGTGCCAGGCTGCAAGCCCCACCAGACTCATTAGTTTGCCTCTGCAGGGTAGCCTTGGCAGCACCCCTAACTCCATGGCAACTGTGAGCTGCTGGTCCCAGGGCACCCAGGCTTAAAAGTACAGACTCTGGCCGGGCGCGGTGGCTCAAGTCTGTAATCCCAGCACTTTGAGAGGCCGAGGTGGGTGGATCACGAAGTCAAGAGATCGAGACCATCCTGGTCAACATGGTGAAACCCCGTCTCTACTAAAAATACAAAAAATTAGCTGGGCATGGTGGCGCGTGCCTGTAATCCCAGCTACTCGGGAGGCTGAGACAGGAGAATTGCCTGAACCCAGGAGGCGGAGGTTGCGGTGAGCCGAGATCGCGCCATTGCACTCCAGCCTGGGTAACAAGAGTGAAACTCCGTCTCAAAAAAAAAAAAAAAAAAAAAAAAAGTACAGATTCTGCTCAGACCAAAGAAAGATACAGCTGGCCGGGTGTGGTAGCTCACGTCTGTAATCCCAGCACTTTGGGAGGCTGAGGTGGGCGGATCACGAGGTCAGGAGTTCGAGACCAGCCTGACCAACATGGTGAACCCCACCTCTACTAAAAATACAAAAATTAGCCAGGCGTGGTGGCGCATGTCTGTGATCCCAGCTACTTGGGAGGCTGAGACAGGAGAATTGCCTGAACTTGGGAGGTGGAGGTTTCGGTGAGCTGAGAGTATGCCATTGCACTCCAGCCTGGGAGACACAGCGAGACTCCATCTCAAAAAAAAAAGAAAGAAAGAAAGAAAGGAAGGAAGATACAGCTAATAGCCGGGGCAGCACTAAGAACCCAGGCAGGCTGCAGCCTGTCAGATTTGACCTGGATTTGTGGGTGTGGAGAGGCTATCCCCGGGCCTTCTGAAGGACCATTGACAAAGCTCCCAGAGACACCACAATGACTTCTAAGGAGCTGAGTGGGGTCAGTGGGAGGATCCCATAATCTAGAACTTTCCTTAGCTATAAGAAACCTGGGCTGGGCACAGTGGCTCATGCCTGTAATCCTAGCACTTTGGGAGGCTGAGGAGGGTGGATCGCCTGAGGTCAGGAGTTCAAGACCAGCCTGATCAATATGGTGAAACTCCATCTCTACTAAAAAATATAAAAATTAGCCGGGTGTGGCGGCGGGCATCTATAATTCCAGCTACTCAGGAGGCTGAGGCAGGATGATCACTTGAACCCACAAGCGGAGGTTGCAGTGAATCAAGATTACGCCATTGCACTCCAGCCTGGGTGACAGAGCAAGACTCTGCCTCAAAAAAAAAGAATCCTGGCTGCTCATAGCTCAGTCCTGAGGGTCACAAGCAAAGGGCTAAAGAAACATCAGGCAGACTGTTCCTCTTACAAGCCTGTATGGGGCCAGTTCTCTTGCAGGTCCTGGCAAGGGGTGGGACCCTGGTGGACACACTCAGGCCACGTGCCTATGCTGCTGAGAGCACCTCCTGAAAACGCGCGCAGTGTGCAGGGAAGGGCAGAGCCCCAGCTCTGGAGCAAGGCCACAGAACCTGCTGAATTTTCTCTAGAACTGAACGGTGGCTATGGAACAACAGAAAAAGACTTGGCTTTAAAGTCCCTGAGGATTTATCAGGAGACTTCCCTGCTCCTGGAGGGCTTCCGATGTGGTACACAGTGCCCGGAGGAGGGGGCGGGTGGAGATACCATGTTGTGGAACTAGACAGCCCTGGGCTCCTAACCCAGTGCTGTCAAATATTAGCTGCTTGATCTGGGGCAAACAACCCTGCCCCGCTCTGTGCCTCAGTTTCCCCCTCTGATCAGACTGTGGAAGACACTGGCACACAGTGGGTCATTAGGCACCCCTCCCCCACCCAGCCCGGCCTGTGGGGAACGCAGTCTGTCAGCTGACCACCGGGGTGCCCGGCCATGCTGGACTGCCTTAGGGGACACTAAAGGGGTGTGGCTGGGGCTCTGTGCCCTTCCTCATGGTGTGTCCATCATTAAGCCAGGTTCAAGGGCCCTGAGAGAGGCTTTCCCCAGCAGAGAGCCACCCAACCTGCAGGGGACCAAGGCAGGGCCAGGCCACTCACTCCTTCCGTTGGTCAGCCAGCGAGCTGCCTCGTGTGAGCGCAAACATGTCAAACTCATCTTCCAGTCGACCAGAGGCTTCCAGAGACTGCAGGCCGGCTCTCACACTGCTGGAGCCTAGGTCTGCAGGGACAGAAAGGCCACATGAAGGAGCCGTCCGCACGCCGCCCCTGCGTGCTGAGCTGCCCGCTGCCAGGCCCAGGGCTTGGTGCTGGGACGCGGCCCGTGTGGCTGGGGGGATGTGCGAGGCAGGCTCCTGCTGGCTGCGGGGCCCTGGGCACGCCGCTTCCGCTCTCCAGCGTTAGGTTCCTCTCCCCTCCTCGGGCCGCTGTGTTAGAGAACAGGCCAAATGCTATCCATTGTATCTGCGAGGGGAAGCGGCTGGGCAGGAGGATGGCAATCAGATGTGTGGTCGATTGTTTTCAAAGAAGTGTAGCATGAGTGATTCAAAATGGAATGCTAATGATTTCCCGGGGCTTGGCAGGAAACAGACAGTAAATTATATTAAAACCTATCGCCGCGATAACAGTGACAAGGGCCAACTCCTCAGCCAGAGTGCAGCGTGGGCCTGGCATGGTCTAAGCACTTCCGCGAGAGCCCCCCTCCCTAGCCTGTTAGAGGAGGAAAGCGGCTCCGGAGGTTTAAGCAGCTTTTGAGGCTCATGCCGACGTCTGGAGCCATGGAGAGCTCCGTGTAGAGGGCCGGTCCTAGGACGGTGGGACCCAAGGGGGCTCCGGCTCGGGCGGCGAGGGGCAGTTGCCCCGAGTGCACACCCTTGAAGCAACATTCAGCCTGGGACCCCAGCCAGGCGGGGTCTAGACTGACATTATGCTGTGGGTGCATAACAGGGGTACCCCCCGAAAGCGTAGGGGTGCCCACAGCACCATAATGTACCCTCAGCTGGAGCCCTCCAAAGCACACTTACTCATTCCTGCCAGCTGGGAGGAGAGGTTGCCGGGGGCTGTTGGCTCGGGGCCCATGTCGATCAGGTCAGCTGCCGGCTGGGCCTCACTTGGGGCCTGGTGGGAAGGAGATGCCCTGATCATCCCCCCCTGCCTGCAGCTTCCTTCCTGTCTGCCCCAAGCATTGGGGCCTGCAGGCTTTGCCCAAGGATCTGTCACCAGGGCCCCAGTAGCCATGATTGGGCGTCAGGGGGTTTCCTTTCTCCCCTTAGGCTCCAGCTCAGCTGGACTCCCTGGGACCCGGTTGGGGAGACCCCTGGGCATCAGGTGGTGGTGCAGCCTTATTTACCTTAAAGGGACAGGGGCCTACAAAGTTAGAAGGGGATTTCTCTATGGGCCTGGATAAGACAGCACCACCCTGTCCAGGACACTGGGGGAGGGAGGTCAGAATGGCACTCCTTCTTCCCACGAACATGGCTTGATCTAGTCCCAGAAAAGAAGCCTTTTACCTTGGTGGTCTGGCCTGTTCGGAACCGCTCAAACCTACAAGATAGAAAAGACACGCGTTATGGAGGCAGACCGAGACAGGGTCCCACCGCACGGCCAGGCAGAGCTTTACAAACTGTGGGTCTCAAAATCAACACAGTGGGTTATGATCAGGGTGACGATATGTCTGGTGTGCCCTGGACAGATCCAGTTTATGCCTGCTGTCCCTGGGTAAGTAGCAGTGTTCCTCTTACACTTGCACAAGTGACCCAAGTTGGTTGCCTCAATGATAAGGCAACCCTAGTCATGACTAGCGTGAAACAAATAAACAAGAATAGAACAGCAAAGAAAACAGGAATGCATGGTAGGCAGCAAAGGTAAGGGCTGTTTTATGAAACTGGTTTCAATTACTTGTGTGTGTGTGTGTGTGTGTGTGTGTGTGTGTGTGTGTTAGTGGCTCTCTACAGTAGTGTAAGAAAAACACACACATCTGTTTTTTTTTTTTTTTTTTTTTTTTTTGAGACGGAGTTTCGCTCGTTACCCAGGCTGGAGTGCAATGGCGCGATCTCGGCTCACCGCAACCTCCGCCTCCTGGGCTCGGGCAATTCTCCTGCCTCAGCCTCCTGAGTAGCTGGGATTACAGGCACGTGCCACCATGCCCAGCTCATTTTTTGTATTTTTAGTAGAGACGGGGTTTCACCATGTTGACCAGGATGGTCTTGATCTCTCGACCTCGTGATCCACCCGCCTCGGCCTCCCAAAGTGCTGGGATTACAGGCATGAGCCACCATGCCCGGCAAGACACACATATCTCTAACCTTGCTTTATGGAGCTACTTAGGGGCTGGTGAGATAGATCGAGAAGACTTTAGTCTGGGATCTGTTCGAGTTGCGGCCTTGTCACTTACTACATGACCTTGGGTAAATTACACTACTTCTGAACTTCTGTCTCCTTGTCTATATCTGCAGGCACCTGCCTCCCAAACGTGATGAGGCTCAAATTAAGATGTGGGTGTGGCCGGGCGCGGTGGCTCAAGCCTGTAATCCCAGCACTTTGGGAGGCCGAGGCGGGTGGATCACGAGGTCAAGAGATCGAGACCATCCTGGTCAACATGGTGAAACCCCGTCTCTACTAATGGTGCAAAAAATTAGCTGGGCATGGTGGCGCGTGCCTGTAATCCCAGCTACTCAGGACGCTGAGGCAGGAGAATTGCCTGAACCCAGGAGGCGGAGGTTGCGGTGAGCCGAGATCGCACCATTGCACTCCAGCCTGGGTAACAAGGGCGAAACTCCGTCTCAAAAACAAACAAACAAACAAACAAACAAACAAAAAAAAAAAAAAGACGTGGGTGTAAGTGACTGTGAACCTGAAAGCTGTGGCAAACATTCAGCCTAATGACTGTGGGTGTCAGGGCGTCCCAGCTACCAGATGGGGCCCCTCAGTCACCTCACAGCCCATACCCCAAAATGGCAGGGAAGACCTTTCATTCCACTGGGCCAATGAGCAGAAGAAGGTAGGCAGATGTGACCTGCAGGGCACCCCCTACTCTCCACTGATTTAGAATCAATCAGTGAGTGTCTTTTGATGGAGAAAGACACCGAATATGAACAAGGGGCCGGAGAAGGCTAGAATAACTAGCGTCATTTATCAGATACCTTTGACTGCTAAGTGCTTTATAGGCACTGTTTCATGGACCCTCAGTCATGCCACAAGCCTCATTTTACGGACACAGAGGAGGTGTGATGGGCATGCAGTTTCTGCAGGCCCAGCAGTCCTCCCTCTCTCTCTCTCTCTCTTTTTTTAGATTTCAGACAGACTCTCAGTCTGTCTCCCAGGCCGGAGTACAGTGGCAGGATCTCGGCTCACTGCAACCTCTGCCTCCTGGGTTCAAGCAATTCTCCTGCCTCAGCCTCCCAAGTAGCTGGGACTACAGGTGCTCACCACCAACCCCAGCTAATATTTTTGTATTTTTAGTAGAGATGGGGTTTCACTATGTTGGCCAGGCTAGTTTCGAACTCCTAACCTCAAGTGATCCACTGCCTCGCCTCCCAAAGTGCTAGGATTACAGGCACGAACCGCCATGCCCGTCCCTTCTTCTTTTGTAAAAGCACCTACGTGCTCTTTAGAGAAACTGCCCCTCCCCTATTTCACATCATCCCAGTGGGGCTGCCATCAGAAGGTCCTCTCCCCTCCCCCAACTGGTGGGCACCATGAAGCTAAGCCAATCCAAGTGTCTTAGCAATGTGACTCTTGAACAGAATGATGCAATGTGGGCAGGTGGGTGGTGGCCCATGCCTGTAATACCAATGCTTTGAGAGGCCAAGGAGCGAGGACTGCTTGAAACCAAGAGTCCGAAACCAGCATGGGCAACATAGTGAGACCCCTGTCTCTGCAAAAAAAAAAAAAAAGAAAGAAATTAGCTGGGTGTGGTGGTACATGCCTGTGGTCCCAGTTACCTGGGAGGCTGAGGTGGGAGGATTGCTTGAGCCCAGAAGGTTGAGGCTGCAGTGAGCCGTGATCATGCCACTGCACTCCAGCCTGGGTGACAGAGCAAGACCTTGTCTCAAAACAAACAAACAAACAAACAAACAAATAAACAAAAAACAAAACAAAAAAAAACCGTGGACAGGTATTTGTGGACAAGCTGTTTAAGCTGATCCATTTACTGATGGCAGCACCCTGGGGATGTGGCCCAGGAGTTTCTGCCCCTGTGATATCTGAGCTACCCTGGGATCGATCTTTCTTGCTCTGCTGGGAGACGTCAGTTTCACTTTTCTTTAGATTTTGAAAGCTACCCATATAATAAAGAGTATTATCCTAACAAATTCTTCTTTCTAAGTTAGCCAGAAATGTTTTGTGTAGCGTGCAGCAGTGAAGTCACTTGTTGAAGGCTCCAGAACCAGGAAGTGGTCGAGTGAGCAATGACACACCGAGCCCGTCTGACTGCAGGGCCATGCTCTCAGCTGTGACCTGTGACCATCTCCTAGGGCTGGACTTGGGCACAAGCAGCAGGGCTAACCCTGGAAAGGAGAGGCGGGATGGGTAGAAGCACAGGCCTTCGTAAACATCCTGGAAGAAGACAGCTGAGGGCACACGCCCCAGGAGCCTGCCTTGTGTTTGCCAGGAGGATGAGAAAAGGCTGAGGTGGTATGAGGAGACCTCAGGACTCAGGCATCTGAGAACAGGGAAGAAGGGAAGGGAGAGGGCTGGGGCAGTTGGTCAGAGCCCGGGGAGGGGCTGGGGCTACCGTTCATGGCGCAGGAACACGTTGTTGAGATTGTCATTGACGATGAGCAGCTCCTCTGTCAGCTGCTCATTGGCGATCTGAGGGATGAGCTCCAGGACCCGCTGCTGCATGGCTCGGCACGTGCGGTTGAGCTCCTGCCAGGAAAGAATTGAAAACGCCACAGCCACGTGACTCAGAGTGAGGCCATCTCTAATGCACGGGCCTCCAGCCCCTGGGCAAGCCTTGGAGGAGGGAGAGGTGTCCAAAGTGGACTTCAAGGTTCCACGGAACAGCTTTTTCTGTTCTACAAACATGAACTTGAACTTCACTTTCGAGTGTTATAAAATTTCATCCACAGGAAACCACCAACTGTTCAATGTTCAACTGTGCTGCTGGTTTAACTTGACTTCGTGCAGACTGCAGAATAAAGGCTGTGCCACCATCTTTGCTTAGTTGAAAAAAAACTGAGGCTGGGTGCGGCTCATGCTTGTAATCCCAGCACTGTGGGAGGCCGGGGCAGGTGGATCACAAGGTCAGGAGTTTGAGACCAGCCTGTCTAATATGGTGAAACCCTGTTTCTACCAAAAAATACAAAAATTAGCAGGGCGTGGTGGTATATACCTATAGTCCTAGCTACTTGGGTGGCTGAGGCAGGAGAATCACTTGAACCTGGGAGGCAGAGGTTTCGGTGAGCTGCGATCGTGCCATTGCACTCCAGCCTGGGCAACAAGAGCAAAACTCCTTTGCAAACAAAAAAAATTAGCCAGGCGTGGTGGCATGCGCCTGTAATCCCAGCTACTCGGGAGGCTGAGGCAGGAGAATAGCTTGAACCCAAAAGGCAGAGGCTGCAGTGAGCTGAGATCACATCACTGCACTCTAGCCTGGGTCACAGAGTGAGACTCTGCCTCAAACAGAAAAGAAAAGAAAAAAAACGGAAAACCACAGCGGTAGGGTTTTGATTTTTAAGACTGGTTATTTGTGGGCCGGGCAGAGTGGCTCACGCCTGTAATCCCAGCACTTTGGGAGGCCAAGGTGGGTGGATCACCTGAGGTCAGGAGTTCAAGACCATCATGGTGAAACCCCATCTTTTAAAAAAAAAAAGAAGAAGAAGAAAAAAGAAAAAAAAAAAGACTGGCTATTTGTTTCTTCAGGTAGGTACCTGCCACCAAGTGAAGGTCCCTGGGTCATGGCAGATGCCTGGATCCTGAGGTCCAGGAGTTGCTCGGCATCGCCGACTGTGGCCCTGCGCCAGCGTGCCTTTCTCCTGGGAGGCATCGCTCAGGCCCAGCACTGCCCGTGTTTATTTTGGCTCTTGTGTGGACCTTGTTCCCCACCCCTTCCAAGGTCAGGCCTCTGGGATTTCCTTATCGCCCTTAGCACAGGGGCAGGGTGGGTGCCTTTCAACATCCTGTGGGCCCCCCTCGTGCTCTGTGATCAAGCACATGGTGGCTTTGCTTCCGCTTCCCTGCTGGCCCCTCTCAAGAGCAGAAGAGTGGCACTTTGAGCCAGGCCCAGAGGTTCAAATCCCAGCTCTGTTACTTATCAGCCATATAACCTTGGACATGTTATCTGATCTCCCTATGCCTCAGTTTCCTGAGCTGGAAAATGGGGTGGCGAGGATTACGTGAGTGATGTGAACCAAGTGTCCCCATATAGCCCAGAGCACAGGAAGTGGCTGACACATGGGAGCTGTCACTACGTCCATCTTGCTCAGCCACTGAGTCCCCAACTGCTCACATCTCATGCCTTGGCTTGGGACATACGAAACTGCCTGTGCTGGAGCAATCCCTCTCGGTCTTCTCTCCCTGAGCCCTTACTGGGTTTGAAGTTCATGTATTCATTCAACTCTGAGGCTGCTCCTTTTCTCCCCACCCTATACCCCCAAGTGAGGACCCCTGCAAGGACCCCTGCACAGCCGGACAGTCAGCACGGCACGGCCAAGCACACAGACACAGTGGCGAGGGAGACACAGCGCTGCCTTCAAGGAGACTGAGGCCTGGTGGACGAGCAACAGGAACTCGAACAGTTCCACGAAGCACTCTGTCCTCTCATGCAATCTGCTGACTCCTGGGCCTTGGGGATTCCTAGCTTTCTTGGTGCCTCTATAACCGACCTCCATGGGGAGAGTGCTTTTCCCCAATCTCAGTACCTCTTCTGCTCCAGTGACCCCCAACCCGGGCAGAGGCCATGGGAATACCACGTGACACATGGGAACAGGAACCTCCAGCTCCCGCCTGCCTTGGCTCCCCAAAACCAGTGGCTGGCCCATCTCAAGGCTGGCACCACCCTCTCACACCTGCCTGCTGAGTCTCGGATTCCATATGGTGGAAATCTCACCTTCCAGCTTTGTCTAATGACTCCTTGCTGGGTGTTTCACTCTGTCAGGCACAGGCCTGGGTGCTTTTCATGCCTTATTTAATTCTCACATCAAACTTGTGCTGTAAGGCTATTGTCAGGGCAACCTTACAGATGAGGAGACTGAGGCAAGGGCGGCTACTTTGTTAAACCAGATAGTGGTACAGTTGAGATCTGATTCCAATCTGATGGACTCCAAAGTCCCTGGTGGTAACATGTCCCCACTGTGACCACGGAGTGTGGAGAAAGCCGTGAAGACTGCCGTGTACGCTGGAAGGAACGCATGTGTGTGACTGGACAGGAGTCATCGGTCCCCGGGGAGGCGCCGCCTGCTCACCTCCAGCAGCTCCAGGTCTGCGGGCTCAGCCTGGGTAGGCACCAGCTCCGTCAGCATCTCCGACATCACCCTCACGTTCCCACTCACCATCTCCAGCTCGCTGCGCAGCTTCCCAATCTGAAACACACGGTGTGTCGTGGTGAGAGAAGCCTGACGTCTGGAGCCCATGTCACTCACAGGGACAGAACCCAGGACCACCAATCCCGGGTGCAGCCCCAGGGAGCCAACCTCCCAGCGGCCACTCTAGGCGGTCTCCCTCCTGGGTCCCAGGCTACAGCCCAGCACTAGAGGCTGTGCTGGGCCTGCCACACCGCTTCTGCAGACCCCTCCCAGAGGTGCTACCTCCCGTTACCATCTCCACACTGGGGATCCTGGTGCAGGGAGAGGCTGAAAGAAAACAAGCTGAGGGGAAATGAGCCACGGAGTGTGGCTGGAAGACTCCAGCATCTCCTGGGTCTAACACAGCAGCTAATGAGGCCCTGGAGGGCGGCTCCCCACAAGAAGAGGAGGGAGGCTGCAGGCTCTCTCTCTCTCCCCTGCTAGAGAACGGGGATTCTGCCCCCCCTCTCCTCCTAGAGGACGGGAATTCTGCCCCCTCTCCTCCTAGAGGACGGGAATTCTGCCCCCTCTCTCCTCCTAGAGGACGGGAATTCTGCCCCCTCTCCTCCTAGAGGACGGGAATTCTGCCCCCTCTCCTCCTAGAGGACGGGAATTCTGCCCCCTCTCCTCCTAGAGGACGGGAATTCTGCCCCCTCTCCTCCTAGAGGACTGCGATTTTGTCTTGTTTCTGGTCTGTTTTGGTGTCCCAGGCTCATCTAAGGACACTCCTTTCCCTGTCCCCCACCTTGAATATGAAACTCAAATTTAGCACTTGTTCCAAGGGATGTGAGCAGGTTTTCAATAGTCAAAGGGATCCTGGGAGTTGGGGAAACATTTTCAATAAAGCTACAGTCTCCTCAAAGAGGTCAGGTTGTGAAAGGCGACTGATAGAAGGACCTCATGCTGTGGGGTCTTGTGGGTGTTTAACATCCTTATATACACTAGGAATGCCTGGGAGAAGACCAATATGAAAGCTTCCAAAGTTTATTTGACTGAAGAACCCTTTTACGTTTTGAGAAATGCTGGTACATTCTAAATCATGTGGCTGAGTTACAGTTGATTTTGGAGTATCACTACATACATTCACGATTGTGACAGCAGCTACTACTACTAAGTGCCACGCATTGAACATATATTGCTAACCTAATTTTTACCCTAGGTAGGCACCAATATCCCTGCTTTTACAGCTGAAGAAATGGAGCGTAGAGACGAGTAGTGTATTCACTATGGTTCACAGACACCTTCCCAAACCGGCAAAACATTCGATCTATTTGGCTTATTTAATGAACACTCTTGGTATAAGGGAGGGGAAAAACCACTGATCACAAACCCCATGTATCCTAATCAGATGGGACTTAATCACAAAGGAGTCTCGGAGTAACATCATTGTGCGCCTGATGTCTTAACATGTCCCAAGAGACAAAAGAGGACTCTTGAATTAAACAGAGACGACTTAGTTTTGTTTAGCAAGCAGCTTCTTGCATTAGAAGTAATTAGAGTCTTAATCCACACAGATGCTAGACTTCGGGCAATTGGTTAAAATCATAACTGAATTAGACAATTTTTTTGCACCACAAAGTGGTTTTACAATTTTTTACACACCTTTAGCCCATCCAGAAAAAAAAAAAGTACAGCTCGCTGTCAGCGCTCATCTGATTTGACATAAACACGCGCTGAGGCTGAAGCAAATCTGATTTTCAACATGACAATAAAACAAAAAAACTGTTCCTGGAGTTATTTCTAAACGGACTTGTCTCCACTCCCAATGTAACAGAAACGGGTATGATGTTACATTAAGATTAGAGACAAGTGTATTCTTGGGGCAAGCAGGAAACGCGTTAATAATTTGGTCCGGTTAGCTAAGTTTTCTAGTAATATTTGTAACTCTGGGGGGTGATTTCATAACTTGCTATGAGATAACAAATTACGGAAGTTTCTGTCCAAATAGGTTAGGGGCAGAATGAGTTCAAATGATACATGAAGCGGGCAGTGAGGACGCTTATTTGGAAAGTTAAGCTTCACTTCTCTTTCCCTCACGTATCCATGTCTTCCTCCCCAGCACGCTCAGCAGCTCCGCCTTTATGCTCTGCTGATGTGATGAGTCTGAAGTGTGTACAACACCTCTAAAGTGGGTGCCCCCACCCCAGCAGCCAAAAGTCCGGAATGACAAGCCCCCAAGCTCTATGAGCGGGTCATGGCTGTAGAGGTGACTCAGCAGACACAGCGACCGTGGCACTCCACAAGTGGCTCCTGGCCCGGTGGGCAAGTCGGCCCACCTCCAGCCTCAGGAGGAAGGAAGAGAGATGCCCAGGCTGCCTCAGTCAGGGTGCCACCTGCCCTGAGGTGGGTAATCCTCCAAAGCCCGTCACACGTTCTGGAAAAACCTGTCCCCTAGAATCTCACGCTAAGTCTCAAACCTTCTTGGCCGGGCACGGTGGCTCATGCCTGCAATCCCAGCACTTTAGCAGGCTGAGACGAGGATCACTTGAGCTCAGGAGTTCGAGACCAGCCTGGCCAACACGGTGAAACCTCCTCTCTACTAAAAACACAAAAAATTAGCTGGGCGTGGTGGCTCATGCCTGTAGTCCCAGCTACTCAGGAGGCTGAGGCAGGAGAATTGCTTGAACCTGGGAGGCAGAGGCTGCGGTGAGCCTAAACATGTTGCCTCAGCCTGTCCTGATGTTGTCTCTGAGTGCCACTGCATTCCAGCCTGGGTGACAGAGCAAGACTGTCTCAAACAAACCAAAAAAGCCTCAAAACCTTGAGACTTCATAGGAAGCAGCATGGTACAATGGGCATGTTTTTAATTTTTTGCACACATGTTTTAAAACTTTACAGGCAGAACCTCTGTTCAAATGAAACTTCCTCTTCTTCTTCTTCTTTTTTTTTTTTTTAAAAACAAACAAACAAACAAAAAAAAACAGGTCTCTTTCTGTTGCCCAGCCTGGTCTGGAGCTCCTGGCTCAAGCCATCCTCCTGCCTGAACCTTTGAGAAGCTGAGATCACAGATGCACGTGACCATGCCCGGCTCAAATGAAAGCTGTGAGCATGTAAGAAACCACACGGGTGGCGCTGCCCTGGTTGAAGGGGCCGCCTACAGGGCACCTCCTCTCCATCGTGCTGTCGGAGGGAAAACACGGGTTGGCAAATGGCCAAGGTACAGGGCAGTGCCTGCCAGGAGTCAGACAGATGTGAGCTGGAATCCCAGCTGCGTGATCACTGTGTGCTCTGGGCAAGTGAATGGACCTCTCTGAGCCTCAACGCTCCAACAGGAAGAATCACACACCCGCTGTGGGCTGCTGGGAGGAAGAAGTGGAGGCGTGGATGGTCACTGCTGACAGGGGTCCTCCCTGACGTGGGTGGCCCACCTGCCTGGCCCTGACCGTTCTGAACTCAGGCTTGTTTACCTGCTCCGGGGTTGGTACTATGGGTGTGTCACCAGAGAGTATGGCCGGGGTGGACAGAGGGGCGGTGTGCGGGCCAGAGTCCTCCTGCTGGCTGCTGTCAGGGCCCACAGAATCCTGTCCTGATGCTGTCTCTGAGTTGAACACGGTCTAGAGGGAGGAAAACAGGAGCAGTGAGGACTCCTGGGAACGTCAAGAGCCCAGGAAGTCAGGGGCCAGGCTGGGGATGTCTCTGGGGATGAGTCCTGCCTCCCTTCCTATAGCTCCCGGCGCGGCAATTCTCTCACCCTCTGGGGCGTGTGGATAGGCGACAGCATGTCCAGGTCAGTCATGGGGAACTCCAGACCTTTCCTCCGTAGGTCTTCATAGATGGTGACCACACCTGTCAAATCGGGCGAGCTGCGGAACGCGTCGGCCCAGGACTGAGAGGGGACAAGGGAACACGGCCAGTAACCACAGCTCACCTTCCCCCCGTGAGCCCGCCCACCTGGCACCCAGACAGAGAAGAGACATTCTTTCCCTATTTTTTTTTTAACGACATCTGCCCTGCCCCCTCCACAGCAAAGCACCCAGTTGGCAAGCTTCCTCCTGGCACAGAACATCCCACCAGCAGACAAGCGAGACGCCCCGACATGAGAAGTGGAGCCTGGGGCAAACACGATGGCCTCGAGCTGGGCAGGGAGCTCCTGTGCTGCCGGCCCGTCCTGACCCTGCCCTGCCCTGCCCTGTCCTGGCACTCACCTGGATGAGGTTGAGCACCTTGTCATGCACGACGGTGGGTGGGTTGTTTTTGGGCAGGATGGTCCTCACCAGCACACTCTCCACGAAGTCCTGGCTGGCCACCAGCACGTGGAAGCGGTGCCCACAGTTCTTGACGCAGGTTTCTAAGACCTGGAGGGACAAGAGGTGCTGCTGAGCACCTGGTCAGAGGAGGGGCGGTGCCCAGGACCCCACCCCCGCCGCGTGGCTCCTCCTGTGTCCCAGAGGGGAGGCCCAGCACAGGAGATGGGACTTCCTAGAGTGAGACCCTTGAACATGGAAGAATGGGACAATGCCAGGACCGGGGGACTTGTTTACTGGAAGGAGGGGCCTAGGGTGGGCAGAGGGGCGGTGTGCAGGCTGGACTTTCCCGCTTGACTGGCGTCAGTGCACACAGAATCCTGACGCCGTCTCCAGGCTGATGTGGTCTAGAGGGAAGGGGCTCTCCAAGAGGAAATCAAGGAGCACCTAAGCTGTCAATCAACTGGTGAGCCTGCAGCCCAGGGAAAAGGCACTGAACTCCCCTCCCCCACTCTCCGCTTCCCACTGAGTCGCAGGAATTGCCTCTGCTTTTCGCCGGAGCCAGTTCCCCTGGATGTAAATGCGGCTTGTGGGGAGGATGGGACGGGACAGTGTTTCTATCTTTCCCAGCCAAACCCATGCCGCCAGCCAGGAGGCCCACGCTTGTCTTGCCGTCCTGAGATCTACACTGGCTCAGTGGTGTGGGCAAGGCTGTTCTCAACCACTGGCATTGATTTTACATTAATTTTCCAGAGCATCGAAGTGCCGGGCAGCACCCAACTCAGTCCACCGGCCTCCCGGACCCCATGGAGGCCTGGGTTTAGTGGGCATCCATGTCACCCGCAGGTGCTCTGGCCCAGGCTCTCCCTGCCAGTGGTTCTGGAGTGACGTCAGCGTCTGCTCCCACGCTGCGGGGTTGGGGAGAACCTTGCCAAATGGCCTCTTGTCATTCTACATCTGTCTGCAGTGTAGACAGGATGGTGCTTTGCCCACGGACCTTTCCTTTCCAGCCTCAAATGAGGAGCCCTGGGGGGCGGGGCTGGGGGTCCTGCTGGGTCTGAGGGGAGGTGACTTCACTAGACTGTGGTCCTGCCATAGGACAGACAGATGGGGAACTCACCGTGAGAGCCAGCATCACCTCGTGGAAGTTCTTATTCCCCACGATTCTCTTCTTCACTGCTCGGAGGGCATCTTTGGGACTAAGAAGGAGGATAAGAAGAAGGAACAGAGTCCCTTACCAACAGCAGAGGCCCTGGAGAGTTGGAACAGCTCTGATTTGGCCATCCTCCCCGTGACCCATCTGTTTTGTGCATCCAGCCAGGTTCTGATCACATCCGAGTCTTCCTAGCCCACTGCTTAGCAGGGACCCACAGCCTGTGGCCCCTGGACCTCCCGCAGCAGAGTCACTTTGAGAAAAGGTTAGAGTATCTTGTTAAAAATGCAGAACCTGGCTGGGTGCGGTGGCTCATGCCTGTAATGCCAGGACTTTGGGAGGCAGAGGTGGGTGGATCACTTGAGGCCAGGAGTTCGAGAGCAGCCTGGCCAACATGGTGAAACCCTGTCCCGACTAAAAATACAACAATTAGCCGGGCGTGGTGGTACCAGCCTGTAGTCCCAGCTACTCGGGAGGTTGGGGCGGGAGAATTGCTTGAACCCGGAAGGCAGAGGTTGCAGTAAGCTGAGATTGCGCCACTGTACTCTAGCTTGGGCGACAAAGGGAGACCCTGTCTCTAAAAGAAAAAAAGAGACTTAAAAAAATGTAGAACCCTAGGCCCCACCCCTAGACCACATAAACCAAATTCTCAAAGCCTGGGGCCTCTGAATCTGAATGCTTCTCATGCTCCCCAGGGGTTTCTCATGCATGCTCGAGTTTAAGAACAAATAACCTCGAGGCATAGTACTTTTATTAAAAAAAGAAAAAACAGAGATGGGGTCTTGCTATGTTGCCCAGGCTAGTCTCAAACTCCTGGGCTGAAATGATCCTCCCACCTTGGCCTCCCAAAGTGTTGGGATTACAGGCATGAGCCCCGAGCCCAGCCAGCAGAGTGTTCTGATGCCCCGTCCTGGCCAGCTGCTCTGTCCATTTATCTTCCATTCAAGTCTTTTTTTTTTTTTTTTTTTCCCTGAGACAGAGTCTCACTCTGTTGCCCAGGGTGGAGTGCAGTGGCGCAATCACAGCTCACTGCAGCCCGGAATTCCTGGGCTCAAGTGATCCTCCTGCCTCAGCCTCCCCAAATGCCGAGACTACCAGTGTGAACCACCATGTCTGGCCCATAGTAGTCTTACAAGCACCGAATACGTGTGTGGCATCATGCCAGGTGCTGGGGGTACAGTGGCAGAAAGACCATATGGCCCTGCCTCCTCCTCACATTGCGGGGAAACCCAAAGAAGAGCAGGGAATAAGCAGGCCCCGGAAAAAGGGCAGGGGTGAGGATGGGGGTGGCCAGAAAGGGCCTCCAAGGAGGTGGTTTTGTAGCTGGGCCTTGACGGACGGGAAGGCCCGGCGGGGGCAGTGGGGGCAGAGCAGTTCCGGTCAAGGTTAGAGCCTGGACCAAGGTTAGGTGCAGAGGAACTTGGTGCCCTGCAGGAACTCAGGGGAGGCCACAGTGAGTGGGGGAGGTCGGGGAGGGTTGAAGAGCCTCGGGGTCACGGTGGTGGGAGGCCCCAAGCTCGGGTGCCAGCCTGCGCTCCCTGTCCCCTCTGTGATTCCCAGCACCCTCCACCCTCCGCCCGATACAGGCATCCTCAGTGCAGCCCTAACTGCTCTTGTCTGAAAGCCTCTGCGCAGGGGCCCCGCCTGCACCCTGATCTCCACGTCCACGAGGTGAAGCTCAGCTAAAACCCATCCCACCCACGACACCCTCCTGGGTCCTCCGGTCTCCCTGGCTGGTTCTGCCCTGGCAGCCACTGCCTGCGTGGTGGATGGTCATCTCTAACTGTGCCCCACAACCTCACCTTGGGGGGCCCTTACCCTTCCTCTGTCTCGTTGATGATGTCGCAGATCTCCATGTTGAGGGCCCAGTCCTCGCTCTGCAGGGAGCCATCTGTGGCTTTCTCTGAGAAGAAACCATGAGTCATAAAGGCGTGTGGGGGTCCCGAATGGGTAAACTCAAACCGTGGGAGGGGAGGGGGGTGCAGGGCTGGAAGAGATGGGGAAGAGGAAGATGACAGACGCTTCCTGGGCACAGGGCCTGGCCCTGTGTGAGACTGCTTGACACACACAGGCCCATCGTCACTAGATTCTTGTAGCCACTGAGGCTGGGAACACCTCTGTCCTTCAACAGATGAGGAAACCGTGGCTCTGAGTGTAGCAAAGGGATGCGCCAGAGGGGAATCTAGGCAGCCTCCGTGTCCTTGTTTCTGACATGACAATATGGAGGCAGTGCTTTGCTTCATTTTTGTAGATAAGATGTCCTCCCTTGACTTTAGAATTATTTTTTGAGTCGGTAACTATTCATTGGTTCAACATATAAAAGTCCTCAAGTGGTATACAATGGAGTTAGGTAAATCGATCTCTGTCCCCGTCCCAGCCCCTCTTCCTAGAGGCACCCTCCGTAACCAGTTTCCTCTAGAATCTCACATGGACCTTCTTTACCTAGGAGGCAAGGACTCCAATTACCAATAGGTGGCCTTGCCCTCCTGTGCCCTTCCGAGGCACCCACAGAAGGGACCAAGCCCAAGCCACTCTGCAGAACTGCCCCAAGAAAAGGTGACGATTCATGCAAGGTATCAGCACGGTACTGGCCCAAAATAAATACTCAGTAAGTAGTGGTGGTTTTTTTTTTTTTTTGGAGATGGAGTCTCGCTCTGTTGCCCAGGCTGGAGTGCAGTGGCACGATCTCGGCTCACTGCAACTTCCGCTTCCTGGGTTCCAGTGATTCTCCTGCCTCAGCCTCCAGAACAGCTGGGACTACAGGTGCGTGCCACCATGCCTGGCTAATTTTTTGTATTTTTAGTCGAGATGGAGTTTTACCATATTAGCCAGAATGGTCTCGATCTCCTGACCTTGTGATCCACCCACCTCAGCCTCCCAAAGTGCTGAGATTACAGGCGTGAGTCACTGCGCCCGGCCTGTAAGTGGTGGTGTTTCTTTTTTTAAAAAGTTGACATGAAAGTCACATAAAATAAAGCCATTTTACCATGTATAATTCAGTGGCATTTGGTATATTTGTCATATTAAATACAACCACCACCACCTCCATTCAGTTCCACAAAATTTTCAGTTGGTGGCAGTTTCTAAGGGAAGATTTCCAGGCCAGGAGTCGGCTGCAGAGTTCTTGAAGCCGGGTCCATGGCGGGGACCACTGGCTACAGGTCTGCTGGGTGGCAGGTACCGGGCTGGCAGCCTTTTGTGAACTGTAGTGTGGGAGGCACCAACTGATGTTACATGAATGATGAACACGGGGACTGGCAATGCCACCACCTTCATAAACGGTCTTCAGGAAAGAAAAGCGCTGTCCATTCTCTTAAACGCGAGACCTGTTTTTTGTTCTCTGCGCCTTCCTAGATGCCATTCTTACACAGACCGGTTCGACCACGTGCACATAGGCAACGGTGTGCCCTGTTTCTTGCAGGCGACGTTTTATTACGCACATCACTCTGGCTGGTCTATACCGTGACTACACGGAGGACTGTGTGATAAGACAGGCTGTGCTCAGCATGTTAAGGGTGAGATCCTGTTCTGATGCAGGGCGCTTTCCAGGGCCCCTCCCCTGCGTGCGTCCGGTGTGGAGTATGCATTGCCTGCTGGCCTCTGCGGCCGTCCTGCCAGCCTCGGCACACCTGCTGGCTGGCGGTCCTGGCACTTGGGCACAGTGCTGCCAGGTGTCTGTTATCCATCAGGAATGTGTGACAGAGTCGGCATGTAGAGCTGGTTACTCCACGTGATGTCACGCTATCCTGCAGGGCAGGCTCTCTCCTCATGGCTGTGCCCAGGAAACAGCTGAGGCTCGGGGAGGGCGGGTGACGCCTCACTTGCTACACAGCTATTTGTAAGCCAGGCCGATTCCAGGCACTGGGATGCCATGGTGGACATGATGGGCATGGTCCCCGCCTTAGGGTGCCCGAAAGACGCTAAAGCGCATGCTAAACCCAGTCTGCTGGAGGAAGGAGGAGGGCAGTCTCTGAGGGACTGGACAGGGCCCTCTTCTAGCCAGGCTGGCCCAACCAACTCTAAAACTGGGGCTCTGAGACCTTGGCTTTGCAACTGGCCCAACCTGAGGTCCACCCTAAGGTTCGGAGCCAGACGGATGCCAAGGTGGCCCAGGACACATGCCAGGTGGCTGAGGCAGAGGATGGCTGCTTTACCCCCAGATCAGGCCTGGAGGGTGGAGGAGGGCTCCTGCGACAGGGCTGAAAGACAGAGTCATCCATCCTGCCAAGGTTTATTGCGTGTGGTGGCTTCTTTGTACCACACCCCCGCCCTTGGGGGTTCCACACTCACAGAGCCACCTGGGAAGAACAAAGTAGGCTGAACAAGCGACCCTCTGAGCAGAGGGCCGTGCCCTGCTTTGGAGGGTTTTGGGGCAGGGGTTAGTGCTGTCAGTCAGCGTTAACCTACAGAGCCTGCTCCTCCCCCACAGGCCACATCTCAGCAAGCCCCAGTCACACGGGCCAGAGGATTAGTGTCGTCTCTTTCCCCGCCCACATCTAAAGGCCACGAAGTCCTACAAAGTCAGCTCCCGAATCTCTCGCCATCACACCAGCCCCGTCTGGCCATCCCCTCTGCCACTGCCCCTGCCCCAGCCTGGCCACCATCCTCCCCCTGGACCACCACCTCAGCTTCTTCGCTCCTCCGCCTCCCTCCTCCCACCCATTCTCCACGCGGACCAGAGGGAACTCTCTGAAACCTGCAAATGGCAGTGGCCTTCCTGACCAAATCCTTCTGCGTCTCCCTGGTCTGTGGCCAGGCCTCACGTCCTCCCACAATAACACTTTAACTTCCCAAGCTATATGCCATAGACTACCAAGCAGCATTAGCTGTTCACAGGAAGAATGAGATTTAGTTCTCACACTCTGTCAGGTGTGCGTTATGCCCTCATCTCACGAGGAAACTGAGGCACAGAGAGGTCAGCAACCAAAGAGCACACAGAGGAAAGGGTGGAGCAGCCGCTGACGCTGTGGTGCAGCTGCCTGAGGCTTCTGTGCCACCCCCATCTCTCAGTGGGGGCGGGGAGCTCTGCTTTCCCCAGGTGTCCTTCCCGACCATGCAGGCAGTCGCCCCCCTCCTCCCTGAGCTCCATCGGCAGGCCTCTCAGTGGTTCCCCCATCAGATCCCCTTCTGTCCCCAGTCCCCCCTGAAAATGAAGGGCACCTCTCATCTCCCGGAGGAGGAACATCAGTGTTTCAGGAGAGGCTGTGGTTGTTTTGGAAAGGCAAGCCAGTGGCTTTTAAAGGGAAGCGGGGACATTGATAAATAAGAGAAATCCCATACCTGGGAATCAGGTGGGGCAGAAGGACCTGCCCCCCTTCTGCCCCCCTTCCCGTGCAGGAGTCTGATGTGACCCAAGCAGCGGCCAAGCTGCTTAGCCCTGAGTGGCAGCGGGCGGCAGTGGGCAGAGCCAATCTGAAGATGGAGGTTTTCTGCAGTGTGGGAGGGGAGATGTGGCCTAAACAGGAGAGGGGAGAGGAAGAGGAGGAGGAGATAAAATCGGGACAAGACTGATCTGAGTGATTCCGGTTCGACACAGCTGTCGGGAGGCCGTGGGACACATCTGTCCCGACCATGGCTTGGCAACCCCTTCTGGGCTCCTCCAGGTTCCTCCAGGTCCAGGCGTGGACTGCAGGGCTGGGGAAGGTCATGGATTTCCTTCAGATGCCCACAGAGGAGGCATATTCCAACAGGGCAGAATTTTAAACCCACAGGAATCTGGCAATATTTGCTTTGTTTTTGTTCTTAACCACAGAAGTAACTCAGCTTGCTATTTTAAGAAGGCAGAATAAAAACACCGGCAGCGGTTACCAGTTACCAAGAGAATGACAACGGACTCCCTGACCTCTGAGCTGCTGGCAGTAACCTTCATGGGCCTCTGGGTAGCAGCTGCACTGTCTTCCAGCTCCTGACAGAGCTGGCCCTGCAATCCTCCGCCTGTCACCAGGCGGCTCTGTGGCTGTCTAGGCTGGCGAGCCTGTGGCTTCGGATCTCTGGGCACCTGTGTGTCTGTACAGCAGTTTGTCCTCTCCCTGTTGGGCCTGGTGCAGATACCGCCTCCCTAGCGGGCTCCAGATAATCTCCCTGGCACGATGGCAAGACCCACCTTCCCCTCATGGAGATCACGATGGAGTGGGATGATTAGACTGGCCTCACCTAACTCAGAGACTGCGGGCAAAGATTCAGCCCCCCGGAGTCTCTGTTTTTGCACCTGTAAAATCAGGATAAGACTGCCTGCCTCACACGGTGCTGTGACCTTGCAGCCAGACCATGTCAGGATGACATCAGGAAAGGTTAGTAATGAGTAACCAAGCTACGATGACTGTGACTTCAGCCGAGAGAAAGAATGAGTAGTCGCCGAAGACACACCACACCACGGGCAGCATCAGAGATGGGGGCCATGGTATGGTACCACCCCTTCCTTTCCTCCCTTCCTCCCCTCCCCTCCCTCTCCCCTGTCTCCCTTCCCTCTCCCCTGCTCTCTCTCTCTCTTTCAACAGTCTCACTCTGTCACTGAGGCTGGAGTGTAGTGGCACGATCTTGGCTCACTGCAACCTCTGCCTCCAGATGAAGCAATTCTCCTGCCTCAGCCTCCCGAGTAGCTGGGATTACAGGCACCTGCTACTACACCTGGCTGATTTTGTATTTCTAGTAGAGATGAGGTTTCACCATGTTGGCCAGGCTGGTCTCAAATTCCTGACCTTAGGTGATCCACCCACCTCACCCTCCCAAAGTGCTGGGATTACAGGCGTGAGCCACTGTGTCCGGCTGGTACCACCCCTTTTGACGCCAGCCTTCTTCGAAACAGCCTGGAGCCGTCTCGTTCTCACCCTGCACATTCCAACAGTCTCATGATCACTGAGACAGCTCTGGCTCAGGCTGCCACCTCCTAGCCCTGGGCTGTCA